CCCCGTCGGTAGGCAGCGTGGACCTCGCTTTACAACATAAAATACATGCTAAGTTGTAAAACAAAATTATAAAGTACATGCATGGGGGAGGGTGCAGGGGAGAAAAGCCTTTCTGTTCACGTGCGCTCACGCATGTAAGCCCCCTTGCACCCCTCCATGCGTGTGCTTTGTTGTAATCTAAAATTACAACGGGTAATTATTAAATTATTTATAATAAAATTATAGAATAGCCTTTCGAAAGATTTCGAAGAAATTGTCTTTCAAAAGACTCCTCAATTTACGCTGACGCGGACGCGGAAGTTCATCAAGCTTCCGCGTCAATCGAACTATTGCGATATGCATAAGAATGTGCGACAACGCATTTCGACATTCGCGGAACCGCGGAAGTTCATCAAGCTTCCGCGTCAATATTGCGAGATGCATAGGAATGTGCGACAACGCATTTTGACAATCGCGGAACCGCGGGAGTACAGCGAGATTGCGAATGCGCTCGGTCACTGACCGACCTCATTCGGGGGACCGTCGAACCCGGCGGAAAAGCGTCGACAGGGCATAACTCAAAGCAATATAAAGGACCGTCGAAGAAGCCACGACGGAGAGTAATACACCGGAGACTCTGCCCGTGACCGTTCCCGTAAGTCGTGTCGCGAAGGTTTACATTATAACAAAGCGCGTGCGAGTTATAATAATTGTGAAAGGCAAATACAAGTGTAAGTTAGTGAGTGTAAAAGGGGCGCTGAAATAAAGCTCCAATATAAAGTAAAACAAAGTGAAGTTCATTTAACGACGCCTACACCCCCGTTCCACCTGCGAACCCGACCGCTTCCTAGTCTGCCCGCCTGTGCCTACCGAGTCCCAACTCGTAAGGTCAAGAGATCCCGAAAATAATAAACGTTTTGCCGTAAGCCGTCACCAACCGGCGATATAACAGCTTTATAATTTCGCTTTACAACTTAGCATGTACTTTATGTTGTAAAGCGAGGTCCACGCTGCCTACCGACGGGGCGGGTGCGGGAGAGGGGGGGCCGAAGGCTCCCCCTTGCACTCCCCCCGTGTGTGTGTGTGCTTCCCACGCATAATTAAACTAATGAAACTCCCAGTGTGAGACCTAACTGCTTGAATCGAGATGCTTGGTT